TCTGCTATCCCCTGAACGAAACAACGTACACTGTGAGCTCTGCTACTGTGCATGAAAAGAATATTTACATCCGTCACAAACCATGTCGGTACACAACATTCAGTCGAAACAGAATCTATTATTTATGCAAAACAAAACACAGGAGAGTGGCATCCTATTTTCTGTGCCATGATGCCGCCATCAGCTTTGCAGAATTATCATTGTCGTTACCTTTTTGTCTGTTTGCTTTAACTCAAAACTGCGTTTTCCCCTTCGAAGCTGCACGCGGCGCTGCGGGGCAGCCCGGGCAGCACCATCTCCAAATTCAAGTTAGCTCTGCTCCAAAGTCTCACGCCGCTACTTGTTCTACCCGTGCGAATGGCAAATAAGAAACAGAAAACGAAAACTCAGCAAAGTCTCTCACAAATGCCAGTGCTTTTTTTTTTTTTTTTTTTTTAAACATTAAACAACTTTTAAATTCTTTGGATGCGCAGGTCTTACCTGCAAAGAAACCTCTCTAGAAAAAGACAAATAAATTAAAGGAAAAACACACTCATAATGCCTTTCTGCTTTCTAAGTGACAAAAGTACTACCTTGAAACACTCATTTTGGCATGTACAGTTTTGGGGGAGGGAGGCCCGGGGGAGATAACCTGGCAGTGTTTGTAACACAGGTTGAAGTGCCTGCTAAGACAAGCCTGAAGATACACCCTGCAGTCAAGAGAAGCACTCTCCTTCAGTTTATCTCAGCATCAAGAATGAAAAGATTGTAACATAAAGCTTTGGCCATATTTGAATCTACTATATACATTTTTAAAACTACATAGTCATAAATTAAAGCACTGATTAAATAAGCGTATACAAAATGTAATTAAATTAAAAATCACAGCACATTTATAGAGGAAAAATAGGAACAATTTATCACAGCAGAGAATATTTTTTTTTACCCTGTGAAAAGAACATTGACAAGAAAACACAAAGCCTCCTAATTAAAATAAAAGCAAACAAAGCCATTTTCCCTTTTTTGCATTCATGGCAAACAGCAATCTTTACCCACTTTGAAACATTTCCAGGAATAAGATCTTTCTTGAGTACAACAGAGAAGTTTTGCCAAAAAAGAAGAAACCCAAGCCCAAACAAAACAATAAAAAAGAAATGTACAAACAAAACAACCCCTACAAAATAAATAAGAATTATAAAGCTTTTTTTTTTCTTTTTTTAAGTAACCTTAACAATTATCAAACTAGTAAGTTCTGCCTTATCACATAGACTCTCTATACAACATAACCCTAAAGATTTATTACTATGAGGTATTTGGAGGAATTGGTAAAAGCAATGCACGGCCTGTCTGGGTTGAGGGACTCAAGCTGCTTTCAAGGGGAAAGAAGGAGGAACCTTTGGTTTGTCAGCAAGAAAGTGGAAAAAAACATTTTCCTTTGGTATCAAAGAAAGTTTCATTGCATGGTTGCACGGCAAAAAGCACCACGGTGAAGAATTATTCCTTTTTTTTTTTCATTAGTGGCCTTTCTAACAGGCTGAGGTATTCAAAGAGTATAAGGTGAGAGATAAAGAGGTCAACAGCGGTTTAACACTTTGGTTCAAGCAAGGCACTCGTCCTATGAGTTTACAAAGTTTGCAACATGTTTGCCTAGAGCTTTATTATTATTATCCTTATAATCGTCAGCAGTAGTAGTTGTAGTAAGAGAAGTATTCCTAAGGTCAGTATCATCATTATTATGAATGAAGACAAGTTTACACACTGAGTGAAGGTTGAGGACGGGGTGTGGGGACAGGGGTTGAGAAGGAGAATGAGTTCCCTTTACAGACCAAGGCCGTGCATGAAAAATCTTTGGTATTCTTTGGTATCATCAATGTGATTAAAATCACCAATGGAAATCGAGTGAGGTAGCGTCTTTGGTTCACACTATAAATAGTAGATCTTTACACACTTTTTTTTTTCTTTTTTTTTCTTTTTTTTTTTTAACACGTGGAAGTAGCTATTCCTTACCTTTTGCTTCTTCGTCTTTAGCAAATAGTTACCAAATGTATTGTAAAGCTAACCACACCACAATAATAAACCAGAAGGCTAAGCAAAGTCTCAAAATTAGCCTCTGGAGCTTTGAATGCACCCAAACGCAGCTAGATAGAAAAGGATAAGTGCTTTCTCTTTGTTTGCTAAATGCATAGTTTTCATCCTTATGTACAAAGGAGGAGGAAGAGGAGGAGGATAGAAGGAAGCGTAGTAGAAAGAAGGACCGTTTTTCGGGGTAAAAATGTCTTGTTTATGACTCAAGTGAGGAGAAGTGTCCTAAGACTCTTTGGTATACGAAGATGAGCGGCGTTCCCAGCCCCCCGAGGAGCAGTGTCCCTGCAGGGCCTCCTTCCTGCACGCAGGGCGGCCAGTGCCCAGACCATTCCCAGGAAAGCGGCCCGGCCGGCATCAGCCTCGGCACATGTTTGCTCCCGGCATCGCATGGAGCCGGAGCAAAGGGCCCGCTGGTGGCTCGTTCTGGTTAGATTTGCTTGACCTGAGTAAGGAGAGTGGGATGAGGCCCCTGGAAAATAATGTGGGGTTGCAAGTAGCACTACTGGTTGTTCTGGTTTTGTTTTTTGTTTTCATTTCTTTTTTTATCCTGGCAAGCTAATAATGCAGTTTGCAGTGGGGATGGATTTAGACATTTCACCTCTTTGCCAGCCTCCCCTCTCGGGTGGTTACAGATGTTTGTGGAGGCCCCTTGTGAGCAGAGCGCCCATTCCCAATGCCTGCGCCTTCCAAGCCAGCGTTGACTGGGCCCACTCTCCCGGTGTGCCCAAGCTATTGCAGGCTTTGCTCCCTTTCCTAACTGTTCTTGTCGGGATTTAGGTCCTTTTTTTTTTTTTTTTTATACTTTCTTTTTGTAATTCAAAACTAATTGTCATTTTGTCAGGAAGCCAGTCCTGACTTTATCAAAGCAAACAGAAAGAATATCTTTAATAGGATGGAGACAGGATTTTCTGTATAATTTTAAGTGTAATTTCAGAAAAAGATTCACCTTCATGGATGACTTGCTAAGAAATGATAGTGATAAAAAAACAGATGCACTAAATAATAACCCACCCGTGCTTCTGTCAATGCATTGGGCAGTCTGCTCAGAGGTAAAACAGTTTTGCAACCAGAATGAACAGCTCTATAGTTATTTGCTTCATGTTTTGAAAGGAAGAAAAGTGTGATCTTTGTTTATTCAGAGTATGGGGTATGTATTGCTTGTGGGAAGAGTGTTTGTTCTTAATGGCTTATAGAAAAACAAAAAGTTTATACTTAAAAAAATCCACTTAAAGTCTACAATTTGTGCATCAGCTTTAGTGTGTGTGGATATAGCGTGTCCGTGTATACATATACACACCCACATAGAAATGTGGGTGTGTATATATACAGAAATAAAATCAAGGGCTTGTGGGTGTGTGTATCAGAGATCCTGAAATTGCATATTGGGTGCAAATTTAATGCTGGTATGAAAGTTCTCTTTGGTTTCAGCAAGTAGTCTTTAAAGACAATACAATGGAAATACTAAAAAAATGTGGTAATGTACTTTGAATTTCCCTGCATTTTTAAATTCTCAAGTTTTAAATAAATAAGGCTTCATTTTTGAAACTATATGTAAGTTACAAAGTAGTGTTTTGCTGGGAAAAAAAACTAAAACATTAGTTATCACTGTCCTTTATCAATCTTATACTAATGAGACTGCATTTAGAAGATCCTTTTTACGTGAGCTTATTAATATTTCCAGGCCAATTATATCTCATGGAATGGAACATTTTAAAAGAAAGTTTGCTAAAATTTAAGGTAAGCTAGAGACTCTGAAAACTCACAGATTACGTCTGCTTTGTCAATCTTAAGGTGGGTTAACATAGAAAAATGTGGAGAAATATTTTGTGCCAAAAATTCTGTTTTCATTTGACTTTATTTTAATAAAGAGATATTTTGGTTATATTCTAAACAATTCCTGGCAATTAACTGTATACCCTGAAACTTCAATAGACCCTGTTGCCTTGGGAAATAAATGGTGCTACAGTCACATAAATTTGGTGCCTCTAGAGTTTAGATTGGACTTCATAAAAGACAGCATCTGCTATTGTTGGATTCTAGTTTACCTTGAATTTTTCTTTTTAAATAGAGTATAAGTAAGATTTGCTATTTCTTATTCTTGCAATGGGACATATGCCTGCCTATTTGGTTACTATGCAATTTAATATACTCAGAATTACTACAGTAATTTGAAACACCAGTTAGAAATCTAACAGGCATGTGTATGGTTTTGAAAGTTTCTTTTCCCCTTATACTAAAATTTAAGATGCAACTGTTACATGCTTTTCCTTTTAATTTGATCAGAGTATGAACTGAATGATTTATCATCTAAAGTTCTGTTAGCAACAGAGCATTTAAACCTTTTCAACTACCGTTTTAAACTATTTCATGCATAAATCTGATTAACAGATGAGCAAGAAAGAATGCACAAGAAGAAAAGCTCAGCCTGTTACACACAGATACAAAACAGGTTGTATCTTGGTGTTGTGGGAATTTTGCTATTGACTTCAAAGCATCCATAATTTGGCCGTCTAAAGGTCCTATTGGGTGTCCTGTTAGAGTTGTTCCAACTAAAGTTAACTGATGCTGCACTACTGTTCTCAAGAGTCTTTAAACCTGTTCCTATTCCTTTGCCTATTAAATTGGTAGGCAAAATAAATAAATAAAAGCTCACTAATGTCACTAGGTCTCAATCTGGTGCTGGGCCTTGTGATTTTACAGTTATCCACTCTTTCAATGGTTGCATTTCGAATGCCTTCAGTCTCATGTTTGCAGGCTAGGTGGCAGAGCTGAGCTATGTTTTCACAGGACGCACGGCTTGGAAAGGTGGTTGTTCAGCGGGTTTCCAGCAGGATCAACCTGGGACAGCGTAAGGAAGGGATGCACACTGGGGAGCTGCCACACTACCTTGCATGAAACTGCAAAGGCCCCCCCTTCTATTGCTTCTGCCAAAGTCAACAGCAAAAAAGCTCCTGACTTCAGCAGAAGCAGCATCTCATGAGCAGTGTCTGTGCTCTGACACGGGGTTCAAACTCCTGGATGACATTCTTTCTTGCCAATCATGAAAACAAACAGTAACGTGGTTTTACTAATTGCAAATAACAGTCTTGATAAGTAGTTTTATGTGTTATACAGTTAGATTAGTTTACACCTATAACTCTACATAGTATTTTGTGTAAAAATAGCTTTGGAATATTAAAATCATTGCAATAAAATACCTGCAATATAATTATTAAATGTGTTCTTTGGTAGCTAGTCGTTTTTTATGGATGGAATAGTTTTCCTTTTTTTAAATCTGAACATTCCTTAACAAACAAAGAGAATGCACTGGTTTAGGTACCATTCAAATTTCTTTGCCTAGTTTGAACTTGTTTCCAGGCGTTGCACCAGTTAAGTTCAAACATCAAAACAGCAAAAATCACACTACCGTTCAAATGGATTCAGACGACTCCACGCTTTGACAGTCGTGCTACGGCACAACCCTATCTGAAGACCAGCCCTGACTAAGTCCCTAGCCACCGGCGTGTACATAGTACCGATACACTCTACACCTTCATGGCAATTGCTGTGAAAATGAAGAGCCATGTCTGAAAAGATGTCCATTCAATGACAAGAAATCACTATGCTCCAAACCACTAAACAGCCAAGGACGGTGAAAATGATCATGGGCGAAGGTGTAAGACCAGTGGTTTATTCCTTTTCTTTCTGTGTTCCATTTCATTCATTTCCTTTCCATCTTTCTTCTCGTTTTTTTGCAAGTCGTCGTCCTACTAAAGTGTGTGTCTTAGAACAAAGTCGTAATGCAGGTGAAATAAGTCTTTGGTTTCTTTGGACTTATAAATAACATTTTTTTTTCAAATAGTTCAAAGTATAAACCTGCTATCTTGAGGTCCTGGTCTGTCTTTATTTATTTATTTTAAAGCTTTTCCACCGAGGTTTAGTTTGTGGTTATTCCTTCATGCTTTGGTACAAGTGCTTGATGAAGAAGATGAGTTGCCTGAATTGGAGCTGCCCTCGTCTTGCCACTTATCCAGACTCCTCCTCCGTGCATTCATGAAAAAGTTGCTGACGGTGCTCAGCTCCAACCCTAGCTGCTGGGAAATGGTGATTTGTAATTCTTTGGATGGACGCTTGTTTTCCTTGAATATTGCATGTAGAGTTCGACGCTGGACATCCGTGAAGACCAACCGAGGCTTTTTGGGGGTGTTCCCTCTATCCTTCCCATGCTCTTGTTCTTTCCTCTTGCACGCTGCAAGAAAAGGGAGCAGTGGTTAGCAGTTGCACAGAGGAGTCATTATGAATACCCTAAATGAGAAACTTGGAAAAAAAGACCTTTCATTTGGGCTTCTAAATTGGGAAAGGACACATGACATGTATAATACTCATTTGCTCTTGCATGCAGGATTCACAAGTCTACCAGGCTGACTCGTAAGGAGGGTGATACATGCTACTCTTTAGCCACTTGCCTCTGCTAAAATTAAGCCAGATGTTCTTATGAACTTCTGCTGGCTCCACTATTCAATCCCCAGTTCACCCCCTTCTGAACTTCAGTGAAGACACTGACTGAGATCCCAGGGTCATTCCCTGATCTTGGTTAAGGCCCCTGGAGGACACACAAACATGGTACATGAAATCATGTGGATGGAGTGCACATTATTAGGGAATGAGAATCCAAAAGACTAAAGTTGAAGCACTGTTGGGGAGCTCTGTTGGTGTCCCACGCAGAGGGACTAACACCTCACACCATGAGTGCCTTGGGTACCTGCGCAGCTGCCATCACGGGGACACGGTTGCCCTGTTTCCCCCTAGCACTGGCCCTGGAGGAGATGGGGCTCCTGAGATCCGCTCTTTTCCTCCCTCCACCTCTGCAGCAACTTGTCATCCATCCCTTTGTGCCTCTTTCCATTGGCAGAGAAACAGAGAACTGGGAGAGAAGAGGCTTCTCATGCCCTCTTACCAGCCCTGATGCTTACGTGTTTTGAACAAACTAACCCCCACTTTGACATGAAGAACGACGGCAGAGAATCTTTCTTACGAAAACAGAACTTCCCTTTAATTTCATCTAATCTTCCTGGCTCTCTTTTTTCAGCATGTTATTTGACTCTACATTATTAAATGGCATTTGAAATTTTAAATTTGCCTTGCAGATCACCTGAGGGGCACAAAGAAGAAGCCTCAATCTCCTTGCTGGCCTTTGACCACTCGCCAACCTGTATTGCCAGTGTATGGCTAAGGTAAAGGTTTCCTTGGAACAACAGACTACTCCATCTCACTTTCAAAAGAGCCTCAAGTTGTCCCTTCCGCCTAATAGGGCCCCTTAACACTGACTTCAGAGTTAATACCTTAACACTGGCATTTGGAGGATAATGTGGATGTCTGTCTGTGTGGGTCTAGTTATATTCTGATTTTTTTGTAGTGTCTCCACCAGTTCCATGGTTATTGAGCTAAAAAACTGCAAATTACTGTACTAAGGTCTTTGCTGTATCCTCTATGGCTACTCAGAGCCAGCGCTGGCATGAAGATTTAATTGCTTAAGGAAGATATAAAAGTAGGCATCCATCTTTTGTACTTACAGAAGTAGTAGTTGCACAGACCAGAAAATTCAAGAGATGGCAACTCCTACCACCCCCATGCCTGACCCTGCTGGTCCTGCCCTCAGGGAACTCCCATGAGGCAGGAAATACAAACTCCATGGATGAGCTTTGGAAGAGCTTCCTGACATTACATATTCCATCTGCAGAGCCTTTCATAAGCAATGGCACATTGATCAAACAAAGTCATATCTTCTACAATAATCTTTGTATTTTATAACTTCTGATCTGAAAAAAATAGTTCCTTCACACAAGCAAGGCCTCACTGAAGTGGAAAACTCAGCATATAGACCAATTCCTAAGAAAAAACGTGTGCATTGATTGAAAGCAAACACTGATAACTCTGAGGTTAAAAAAACCTTTGCAAGAACGGTCCACCATTTACCAATAAACATGAAAAGGTAGGAAATGAGGTGTGAAGAAGAGATTAAAAGAAAATCTATCATGCAAGCATCTGTGAACATTTGTCAAACAGAAGCTCCCAGCAAAAGCAGCCTCAGACCTTGAGCCCTGCTCCAGGAGTCCCCTTCCCTGCTGGCCTCCCTGCCCGCGGGACAGACTTGGCCCCACCAAAGTCCCTCAGAAGAAGCATCCACCCTAAAACTTCACTTCCCAACAGGCTCCACAGCAATCCACAGCTAGATTTCTTCTACTTTGGGAATTCAGGACTAACTACTTGCTGGTCCAGAGAGTGCAAGCTCCTGACTCTGTGCCAATTTGGGGGTTACGTGCAGCATGGGAGACCCCCGTGCAGCAGGTTCCTTCCTTTCAACACGGATACGACACAGCACGGCCTGAGCAGGCCGAGCAGAGAGGCACCCGCTGCGGGTTGCAGAGCGGCACCGCAGGGCCCGGGTCTGACCCTCGGCTCCTCTGCACCCCGCAGTGCCCGGCCAGCGCCGCATCGGCCCCCTCGAGGAAAGGCTCCTGCCCATTACTTCCCTCCGGAGCTGGGGCTTGCAGATCATTTTTTTATCCTGGGAGAGGCTGGGAACATTTTGAGAGTCCTGTATGTGCTCTGGTGATACAAAACCAGTTTCCCTTTCCTCTCTCTTGCTGCTGACTTTCATAAGAGGTAGATTAGCGAAAAAATATATTTACATATGCCTAAGTGTTTAAGCCAGGCCTCATGTTGTGAGCAGCAAGAGAGGATACCGCCTTTCATCTTCTGCCTTGCCCAGACCCAGGAATATTAATAGCACTTAAAAATAAATAATGGTGATAATGAAAAACTGTAATAGGGTTTCCTTGCGATCGTTTTCCCTGCATTGGAACCAATCAATTTTAATAATAAATTGTAGCTTCCAGCTTGCCAGAGAACAAATGTTCACCGCGCGATAAAACCTAACACAAGGGGCTGCCCAGAGCCGGCACTGGCCTGGGAGTACGGATGGACACGAGCGCCTTCCCCTGCGCTCGGCCCCGGGTCGTGTTCAGACCGAATCTTCTGGCCAAATCTTCCTTTCTTTAAAGCAGGCCATGGTATTTACTGAAGTCAGTATCTGAATTAAGTCCATTTTTGGATAAACACCAGGGCTTGTCTTCTGATTTGTTTATTGTACAGCTCTATCAACATCTTATTTTATGTAGCAGATGATTAGGAAAATAATTTGCACTGACGTCCCTAGCACATGCTCCCCATGAGCCATGTGGACAGGCTCCTTTCTGCCCAGAACCTCAGCTCAGGAAAGGTGTTTTGCTCAAACAGCCCAGACAACAGGGTCAGGAACAGGGCTCTGTGACTCTCCCGATGATGCTCTCACTCTTGGCCCCATGAGGAGGGCTGCACGTTTTGTCTCTGGGCTGCCCCAGCTGGGTGATGCCTCCTGAGATGCCTTTTGAAAGGGCCTTAAGACAGTCTGGTAAAGAAAAAAAGCAAACAGAGCACAAAGGGCGAGCCTTGGCTCTGGCGACACGTGTGCAGATGCAGCGGTGCAGTGTTATCAGTGCCAGAAGGAGCCCTCTAAGCCCTCTGCTGAGCCCTGGCCTCCTCCAGTCACTTCCATCTTCCTCTGCCCCAAGCAACAGATATTTCTGACACTTGCAATTCTCCTGATACAGCCCATCCATCTATTTTTGTCTCCCTTGTTCCTTCGAAGTCACCTGAGGGATTTGGCTGCGTTAATGTGCCAAACCTTGTAAGGTTTGGACATCTTATTAAGGGCCAGTTGTCCGTGAGCGGTGCAGGGTACGCAGCCTTGCTGCTGCCCGCTGGAATTGCGTCATTTGTCACTGCTCTTCCCACGTCCCTCCTGTGCCCGACTGCCTGCCCACATGCCCCAGGAAAGGATGGACCCTGCTCTGATGGAGGCACAAACAGGACCGCGTCCCCCGAGGAAATGCACCGATTAGATCATTAGCTTGCGATACGGAAGAGGCTGTTTTGCCTACCTGGGAGGTGATCTCTGCTCTCTGTGAGCCTGAAGACCAAGATCACAGTAAGCACAGGTATTAACCTCAACGCTTGATGTACTCTTTCATCCCTAGAGAGTGTGTTGCTTTTCAAAATCTAAGAAAAAATCAATTACCATAATGCCCATTTTCAGAAGCACTCTGTATGCGTACTGCAGGTCTGGCTGCATGCTACAAATGTAAAATTTCTTTTCCTATACACACGAAAGCAAAGCACAACCCCAACAAACCCCCAAGGCAGCCTGTTTTCTGCTGTCTTCTTTTGGGCACATAACAAAATACCACCACAAGTCCAGGTGCCACCTTTGTTGGAAAACTAGGGAATTATGACAGAATGCGTGAGACAGCTAAAACCCATCTTAATTTGGGAAGTAGAGGGCAGCTTGGCCTAGAAGAAACAAAGATCAGCCCTAGGCTCCAGCGCGGGTGAGCAGGTGCTCAGTGTCACGATGCCAGGGCAGTGGGGACTAGACGTGCTGCCAGGACACCAGTGTCCCCTCAGACACACCAGCTGCACTGGGCGCCTAAGGGATTCCTCTTCCCCTTTCCGTGTGCCCAAAGCGGGACGGACCAGCAGTCGGAGAGGCATTGGCCATCCCGGGCTGGCGGAGCCCGTGGGGCGGCCAGCAGGCGCAGCAGGCCCGGCAGCGGGTCCAGGGCCTTTCACCTCGAGGTGACAGGTCACGCTCCCAACCCGGCCCAGGTCACCGGCGGCCACAAGTCATTCCTGTTTGCCGGTCACCAAGCGCCTGTACACGACGGGGCTGCGGCCCCCCCAGCCCCTGGTGAGCGGCTTCACGCCGCTCTCGTTTCCGTCACATCTGACACATTCCTTGACACCAATTAGCGCCGCGGCTGGACACCGGACACTCCGTGCCGGGGAGGGGGGCT